TTATTTATTTATTTGACAGAAAGAGACCACAGCAAGAGAGGGAACACAAGCAGGGGGAGTAGAAGGGGGAGAAGCAGGCTTCCCGCAGAGCAGGGAGCCCGATGCGGGGCTTCATCCCAGGACCCTGGGATCATGACCTGAGCCGAAGGCAGACGCTTAACGACTGAGCCACCCAGGCGCCCCTATTTCTTTTTAAATCTTTTTATCTGCAATGATTTTCTGCCTACTAGTTCTATCAATTATTGACATATTATTAATTTAAATGAAATGAAAAGAAGACAGGTTTAGTTCACTAATCTCCCCTGGTGTCCTGTGTGAGTGAAGGTGTAAAGTTGCTCCCAGGAGTGACTTAGGACTCCTTAAAATTTGGTGAGGCCCTTTAAGGCAACCACATAAACATGCTGTCTAAACAAAAACAAAATGCTTGCTAATGAAAACACAGCTTCATGGCAAATTATCTTTCCATTCCCTTCATTCCTCTTCAATCTTACTGTATTCCCTGTAATAGTTCTATATATAAATTCTGAAGTTTCCACTGTTGGGTAGTGGTATATTAGTGCTTTTATGGGGTTCACATCCTTTGGTATTATAATATAAAAAAAAAGATTGAAATATTATTGAAAGTTCTGAAGAAGTACATGGAGAGACATAGATTGTCAAGTTTTTGAATACACAAATTGGACAAATGGTTTAGGGATTACCTGCATTATTGCATACATCTGGGGTTCAGGAGAATGGTAAGTTCAGGGTAGCAAAACTTTCTGCTAAAAATACTGTCTGGTTTTCTATTTTGTCCCTCACAGTTGACACAAATAACAGAGATAATTGAGAGCTAAATCAATTGTCTGTATGCACTTTTGCACATCTAGGAATTATTTCTTACAATAACTTTTGGCATTTTGAATATCTATCTTTTTTTTTTAATTATTTGACAGAGAGAGACACAGTGAGAGAGGGAACACAAGCAGGGGGAGTGGGAGAGGGAGAAGCAGCTTCCCACCGAGCAGGGAGCCCGATGCGGGGCTTGATCCCAGGACCCTGAGATCATGACCTGAGCCGAAGGCAGACGCTTAACAACTGAGCCACCCAGGTGCCCCTTGAATATCTATTTTTAAAATTCAGTTTGAATACTACTAAACTGATACATTTTTAAGCCTCACATGACTGTTTATTTAGGTCAGAGAGATTTCATGCGAGTTACTATTTATATATCCTAAAGACCCCTCAGGCAATGTCAGGCTGTTGCCTGTGGACAGTTTCTTGAATTATAGCACAGAAACTTTAATACCTACCTCAGGAATGATAGGAGTCTTAAATAGGCAGTCATATTTACTAAAGAAACCTAGAGTTTTCTTAGATTGTCAACCTTAGTTAAGACAAGAAATGTCGGGGTGACAGAGTTTAAGTGGCTCTTTTCAGATATGCTACACTGATTCTCTATATTTAAGATGCAAAACAGCCTTACAGGAGCTATTTAATTAAGTGAAAGTAAGTCTAGTCCCTTGGAACCGAATAGTTCAGTGAGCAAATACATGTCAGTATGTGAAGGAAGTGGGGGAAGTTACTATGTGCTTCATAGACATGGTGACACTTTATAACCCCATTATCAGGGATCCTAAACAGTGATTGGTTGAGAAAATGATCAAACTGAGTTTAAATTTCAGCAGGTACAAAATTGTCATGCAAAAGTCCAGGACAGTGAGCCTCTCTCAGTCTTCAAAGCGAAAGATGAGAAATCCTGGATTTTCAAAGTCCCTTTGAAGGCTTTTAAGGTAAGATGAAACATCTTCTTTACTCAGAACCAACTGATTCTTGTAGAAATTTTAATTTCAGAGAAGAAGCTGACTTGATTTTAAGAAGTGAATAACCCTTATGATTAGATTTTTTTCCTTCTCTTTTGACTTGGCAAATCAAGACTACGTGTTTAAAAGATAACAGAAAATTATATGGTAAGGGATGCTAATTCCATCTAGCAAAACATTGGATCACTGAAGAATAGGTATTTTTTTTTACAGCCACTATGTTAAAATATCAGTTGCTAATAGGAAAAGTATATGTAAGATGAAGCAAATATTGTAAATCTAAAATATTAACGAAATGAGTGATTAAGAATATTTTACACATAATTCACGATAGCTCCATTACTGTTATTTTTTATCTACAAAGACCATCTTTAAGAATCTTGAATCTAGTTAAAGACATTTTTTAGCCTTACCATTGCAATATAAGATGTGATGGCATTTAATAAAAAAGTAAAGAAACAAAGAGTAACAATAGTGACATTTAAATACTGACTCAGGAAATAAACATGGATTTGGGAATTTTATTCAACACATTATGGTACATTTACTTCAAAGTCTGGCTAATCCACTCAGAGTTAAGCTCCAAGAGGGTAGGGCTCATATCTATTTCCAGGGCTCAGTATCTGGTCCACATTTGGTCTTCAAATGTTGAATGAATGACTGCATCCCAGTTTACATTTAATTTTTTGGTCCCTGAAAAATCAACTTTCATCCTAAAAGATCAATTTTTTTTTTTTTTTTGCCTACTGACATGAAGGTTTTGAAAGCTAGAACAAAATAGTTTTACTTAGGTTATCTGGAGATTCTGACCTCTATCACATATTTTTTCTGTTTCATGATATCATAACAGGTTTAGAAAATGAAAGAGGTTTCAGGCTGACAAAACTGGGGCTATTTCTATAACAATCTTTTGAGCTATTTACCTACCTGTGAATACAGTAGCAAGCATCATGGTGCATTGTGCAATTGTTCTGGAGTGGATATGAAAGAGAACCAAAGTAGTCAGATTGCTGGATTGCAGTTTAGAACGGGATGTGTATAACCATGACCTTCACTACAGGTACATTTCTAGGATACCATGGTTCCTCCAAATAAATGTAGACCAGCCTTTAGCAGAGTTTATGTAATAATTAGGTTTGGTACTGCAAAGTACCGTATAACCCCTGCTTTCTAAGCAGCTGCCCTTCAACACCTATGCCCCAGAGTTCTGCATTATACTTGTCCTGAGGTCACTTCAGCTTCATTTTTAATCTATAGGATTTTTGAAGAAAGTCTAGCTATTCTTAGCTTTCTACTGAATAGCCATAAAAGTAAGCCTTTTTTTCCTCTCAGAAAACATGTCCTCTGTTCTGTGAGGAAATGCCAATAAAATTCTATGACAGTTGATATTCACTAAGATTTTATTATGTTTCCATTATCAACATTAAATTCAATCAAAGCTATTTTATGACATGCATTATTGTAATCTGTTAACTCAGTGGGAGTTCATGAAATAGGAGTAAACTCTTCCTTTCTGTGGTAATAGTATCATTACACCAAGAAATCCAATTTTCAGTAATAGCAATTTAAATTTTTGATTCACATGGACTATACAATGTCTATTCCAATGTATCAAAATATATATTATACCATTTCTGAATGTGAATTCTTTTTTTTTTAAGATTTTATTTATTTATTTGACAGAGAGAGACACAGCGAGAGAGGGAACACAAGCAGGGGGAGTGGGAGAGGGAGAAGCAGGCCTCCTGTGGAGCAGGGAGCCCGATGCGGGGCTCGATCCCAGGACCCCGGGATCATGACCTGAGCAGAAGGCACATGCTTAACGACTGAGCCACCCAGGTGCCCCCTGAATGTGAATTCTAACAGGAATAAAGGATCATGTTTCTAGAAGCTCCACATAATAATTGCTATCATTTATAAAGGGATTGCTAAATACCCAGAACACTGCTAGTTATGCTTATAATAATACGTATTTATTCACCAACAATATTCATAAAACATCTCTTTCTGTACTATGTATTCGAATATAGTGATTACCAACACATTCTCCTAGGCTTCAGAGCTCTCAGTAGGTCAGAGGAACATAAAAGTAATCAGGCTATGCTAAAACAGTGCAGTATGCTACCAGTGAGGTTTACAGAAGCTGCTGGGTGTAAAAAGGCTAGAGACACCAAATGGCCTTTGACAAGGAGTCAGAGAATGCTTCTCAGAGAAGATTCTTCTGCTAAGGTAACTGGGATAATCCCAAAGTATAGGTATTATTATCCCAGATGGAGGAAACAAAGGCTTAATAAAACTACTTAAATTTCTCAAGTTTACACATTAAGTAGCAGAGGTAGAACTTTAACTTGGTCTCTAAATCCAAACTTCATGTTCCTTCCACTAGCCGAGGCTCCTTGATGCTAGTAATTTCTTTCCTTTACAGTGTCCCACAGCCCACTTGTGCGGATTTGGGGTGGGGATGATAAATGATTCATCTTTCAGCGATAATCCTAGAATTAGTTAATGCTTGATTAAAATTATTCAAAAGAAATGTTATCACCATTAAGAATAGCAAGACAAAGTTATGGTTGTGTCCTTTGTAACTACATGGCTGTGCCCCTTCATTGGCATAGGCAGAAAAAGTCTAGTTAGTTACTTCAGTGCTGAGCCTGATGATGCCCCCTGTACGTATCTGTGAGCACTCCATATAAAACAGATACAAAATGTGTTTCTTCTGTAACACTGAGTCTTGATAGCCTTCTTCTCATGTTGGATATACACTCCCTGCCCAGGAAAAAGTCAAATGCTAACTGACCAAAATAATACCTTACCATGGTTATCATCTTTTGCTTTATAAGTGATTTTGTGCTGTCCTTTTTTCTTTAAAAACAGACTGATTAATATTCCTAAGGAAAATGAAGATAATTATATATTTTTGCATTTGGGCAGCAGCATGGGCTATTCCAGTAAGTATGTATTCCTCAGAAAATCTCCTCACTTTGTTATCTCTTTTAACCTAACATTAAATAATATATATTTCCTTAAGACTTTGAAGATAAGCTGGGCCTGAACATTTAGATTTGAATGAAAGACTTTACAAGATTTCTTTGGGGGTCTCAACAAACCCAAATATGCACTCCAATTCATGCTCCCATTCCTCTAACTGAAACTCATTTCTTGTCAGATGGATTATTACTTTTAAAATTTATTCAGATTGTGCTTGCTCTGGCAGCACACATACTAAAATTGTAATAATACAGAGAATATTAGCATGGTCCCTGCACAAGGATAACACACAAATTTTTAAAATTCATTCAGATTAATTTACATTTAATGCCCAAAAGCCATGGAGACTTTAGCCATCTTTGCTCATGCCCTATGAATTTCATTATAATATCAATGAAGCCTACATTTTAAAGGAAGTTTTCAAGGAATGAAAGTAGGAAAAAATAAGATTTTTTCAACATAGGAGAAAATGTTTCACTCAGATAATTATTTTTTTAATGTTCATTGAGAAAAATTTGGAATATACAGATAAACACCAACAGAGAAAAAATTAGGAAAATTAAACCATTTGTAATTATGTTACCCTGCTATGGGTAACATTTTGGCATGCTTTCATAATATCAAACAATTTGGTATTTATGCAGGTGAGAATTTTCTCAACTATTTCAAATGTACTCCTGAAGGACAGAAGTAGCAAATTACTTGGTTTTGTTTCTGCACTGGCTCAGGTGATACCTGCTATTTTCTTAGGGGTATGGCCAGGATTATACTTAAGGTGGGTCTTGTGCTAGTGTGGGAGGCTTGTACAGAAACACCAAAGGTCTATCTCCTCATTTTTATAAAAGACAATCCTCTTTGAGATAAATGGTCTGGTTAATATCAATAAAATTGGTAATACCATTGTGAAAAGTATCTCTATGCCCAGTTTAAATTCTACATTAGCTGTGTAACAAGCTTTATTAGATCATACTTTGGGCTTTGCATTATATATGTTTTCATTTAGAGAAAAATGTGTGTCTGTATGTATGCGTGCATGTGTGCATGCATGCATGTACACAAAATTAGAATGTTTTAAATTTCCAATATTTTCATTTTGGTAGGTTCCTCAAATCAAGCCATTGGAGAGACATGCTGTTGACAAATTTGTAAATTTAAATCTTCTAGAAAAAGCAAAAGTGCCAATACAGGTAGGTATAGGTTATAAAATATGTTTCTAAGCTGTTTTTAAATTCTTTTTTTAATTATTTATTTATTTATTTGAGAGAGAGAACATGAGAGAGAGCACGAGCAGGGGGAGGGACAGAGGGAGAAGCAGACTCCTCGCTGAGCAGGGAGCCCGATATGGGGCTCCATCCCAGGACACTTAATCGACTGCGGCAGATGCTTAACTGACTGAGCCACCCAGATGCCCCTAAATTCTATTAACTTCCAGAAAATTGATGCTTATCTTTTCAGTTTGTTTTACTTCAATTATTTTGAATTGTTTCTCTTTTCCAGGATGAGTTAAATGCCAATGATACCACCAAAGAGAGTGGTGTCCCCCCTGAAAATGAAAGAGGAAGGCAACAATATACCAAAGATGATTACAAAGAAGAAAGAAATGGCTCTGAGTGGGCAGAAATAGGAGGGAAAAGTTCTTCTACACATTCCATGTTAGTAAATGACGAGGGGAATAGTGAGGATCAAAATGGGGTCACAGGAAAACTAGAAACATATGGTTATAATGGGATACACGGAAAAGAAAGTAGCGCCACAGCAAATGGCATCAGGGGACAAGTAAGTATCATCGACAATGCTGGAATAGCAAATGGGAGCAATATTAATAGAAATACTGATAATAATGTAAACAATGGAGGAGATGTTGGAGATGCAAGTCAGAGTGAGAATGCCACTGTTGTCCAAGAAGATGACCATCAAATAGCTGGAAGCAATAACAGCACAGGCCATGAGGATGAAATAAACAGGAATTCCTGTAGAAATGAGGGTGATACAGGTGAAGTAACATCTCAGAGAGAAAATGAGAGAAATGGGAATCAGGAGGCAGGAGTAACACCAGGGGGTGGAGCTAGCAATGGAGAAGATGATAATTCTGATGGGAATCCTAGTGGGAATGGAGCAGAGGAGGATGAAGATAAGGGCTCTGGTGATAATGAAGGTGAAGAAACAGGGAATGGAAAAGAGGACACTGATAATAGCAAGGGCCAAGAGGGTCAGCCTCATGGAAAAGATGACAATGATAATAGTTTAGGTCAAAATTCAACTAGTAGTGAAGATGATGACCCTGAAGACAAAGAAGATCCCCATGACATCAATGGAGACAACACCTCCAAAAGTGAGGAGGATTCTGATGGTATTTCCAAAGACAAAGATAGCCCAATAACAGAGGACATGCAAAAGCCCAATTACAGAGAAAACAAAGCTGTGGAAAAGAAAATCACTGATGAATCAGAGCCAGGTGCTACTGGGAAGAGCCATGATAAGGTTAGTTTGTGAAGCTGATTTCTTTCAATGGCAGTTTAAATTCTCCCCCTCCATTCACTGATGGTAACACAAAAATAAATCATAATGAGCATTCATCTATTTGTGCACCTAAATTACTCAAATATTTAATGGGAAAGTTAGAGTCCTTATTAAACTCTGATACAGAACAATTTTAAGGAAGATTTTATTATTTATTTATTTATTTGAGAATGAGAGTGAGAGAGCACAAGTGGGGGGGGCGATACAGTAGAGGGAGAGGGAGAAGCAGGCTCCTCGCTGAGCAGGGAGCCTGATGTGGGGCTTGATCTCAGGACCCTGGGATTATGACCTGAGCCAAAGCCAGATACTTAACTGACTAAGCCACGCAGGTGCCCCCAGAACAATTCTAAAAACAGACATTTCTGAAAATTTGGTTACAATTCTATAATAACTGATACACCATGTAACTGTTCACACAAGTTCCTACTGACTAAAAATGTGGATGGGTTGTTATATAACCTAAACACTGGAGTTCTCTCAAGTGAATAAAGCACATTCTTACAAACAGAAGTTTATGAAGTACTGGAAGCTGAACTTCTGTTTCTCTGGTCACATTCCCCAGTCTGTCTTCCTCAGACCAATGCAATTTTGCAGCATACCATCCACTAACTAATCATTCTTTTCTCCATCTTTCCACAGGGAATAGAAATGGAAGGTCCCAGTAGTGGCAACAGAAACAATATTACCAAAGAAGCTGGGAAATTCAGTGAAGATAAAGAGAGTAAAAGACAACAAGGAATGGTCATGAGCAAAGGAAATGTCAAGACACCAGGAGAGACTGACATACAAGGACCTGGTCAGAAATCAGAACCTGGAAATAAGGTTGCACACAGCAAAACAGGTAGTGACAGTAACAGTGATGGATATGACAGCTATGAGTTTGATGACAAATCCATGCAAGGAGATGATCCCAACAGCAGTGAGGAATCTAATGGCAATGATGATGCTGATTCTGAAGGTGACAATGACAGCAATAGCCGAGGAGATACTGGTTTTAACTCTGAGGAACCAAAAGATAATGGCAATGACAGTGACTCAAATGGAGGAGGTGATAATGACAGTGATAGCACATCAGATGCTAATGATAGTGACAGTAATGACAATGGAAACAGGACCGATGACAATGGCAAATCAGACAGCAATAGAGATAAATCAGACAGTAGCGACAGCAGTGACAGCAGCGACAGTAGTGACAGCAGTGACAGCAGCGACAGCAGTGATAGCGACAGTAGTGACAGCAAGTCAGACAGTGATAGCAGTGACAGCAACAGCAGTGATAGTGACAGCAGTGACAGTAGTGACAGCAGCGACAGTAGTGACAGCAGCGACAGTGACAGCAGCGACAATGACAGTAAATCAGACAGCAGTGACAGCAGCAACAGCAAATCAGATAGTGACAGCAGTGACAGCGACAGCAGCGACA